GAGAACGACCCGAGGCCGGGTAACTCGGTTACCAATACCCAAAAATTTACTTAACACTTCTTCTCTCAAATTCGGCAAGAACACTCGGAAAAAGAACAAAAATAGATCGGTAGACGTGGGTCTTTACCTTTCTAATCACAAGGCTTGGAGGTTGGGTTTCGCCCTAAAAAATCAATCGGTTTCGCGCATTCCAAATGAAGTAGACGGTGGCCGCAAGCGCCGCTTTTTTCAATTTGGCTCTCCAAGTCGTACCTTTCCCTTCTTTTTTGGTCCATTTGAGGGCACCTTTTAGAGTGGTTGGCATGTGACGGAGGCTAACCCAAACTCGAATTGCACTCCATATCTCCGAGCTAAAGGGGCACTCGAAGAAGTGGTGGCTCGAGGATTCGTTCGCGGTACCACAAATGGGGCATGTCGGGTCTTCATTTAGGAACTCCAGACGATCTTTTGTTTGGAGCCTATTCATCACACCAAGCCATAAAATGAAGGAATGCTTGGGGGTATTGCAACTCCCCCAAACAACCCTGACCCATGGCTTCTCAATACCCTTTGGTCAGAGAAAATCGTAACACTTGCTAGTACCGTCTTGCTTGTTGCGTAAACTCCAAGCACGGAGGAGGGCTTCCGCACCGCGCTCGCTACCCGCCTTTTCAATCAAGTTTTGCCGGATTTCAAAGAGAGATTTAAAGAGAGGGGAGTCATTCTTGGAAACTTGTGAATCCCAAATAGTTTTCTCCTTCAAATAGATGTTGTGGATCCATTTGAACCATAGTGTATCCTTCTTAGCTTGCATATTCCAAAGAGTCCGCATGAGAAGGGCTCGGTTCCAAGCATCCAAGTTACGGAGCCCCAATCCTCCCTCCGCTCGGGTAGACACAAAGTATCCCATGCAACGGGGGCTTTTTTGGAGCCCCATAAGTACCTCCTACATAGTTGAATGATTTTTGTTCGGATAATGCCCGACAAGTGGAAGATGCCCATCCAAAAGCAAGCAATGCCTTGAATGACCGGTCGAATTAGTTCCAATCTACCGGCATAGGAGAGAGAGTGGCTCCTCCACCCACTAAGTTGGATTTCAATTTGGTTGATCATATCATCAAATAGCCTCCCGGTAATCCGATCCGCGGTGAGGGGGACTCCGAGATAACGGAACGGCATTGGCCCGATTAGCATGCTAGTATCATCAAGGATGGTCTCACGATCACGTTCTTTCACGCCGGTCAAGTAGATGTTGGATTTAAGCACATTCATTTCAAACCCTGATTTCTCCCCAAAGTCTCTTAAGCATTCCATGAGCACTTTGATTGATCCCGAGTCACCCCGAGAGAGGAGCATGAGGTCATCGGCGAAGACTAAGTGAGAGATTTTTAGCTTCTCACACATTGGATGGAATTTAAAGTTCGGGTCCTCCACCGTATTGCAATTAATGAGCCTAGAGAGGTATTCCATGCAAAGAACGAAAAGGAAAGGAGAGAGGGGATCACCTTGCCTTAGTCCGCGAGCGCCTTTGAAATGGCCTTTGAGGCAACCGTTGATAGATAGGGAATACGTAGGGGTGGTGACGCACTCCATGATCCACATGATGAAAGCCGGTGGAAAGCCTAAGCCCTCAAGCATTTGCCTCAAGATGGCCCATGAGACGGAGTCAAATGCTTTGCGGAGGTCAATCTTGATTAAGCATCTCGGAGACACACTTTGCCTCAAATATTTCCGGAGCAATTGTTGCATGAGGTGGATATTGTCCGTCATATTCCTCCCCTTCCCAAACGCGGCTTGGGCTTCATCAATAATAAAATCAAGAACTTCACTAATTCTCTTTGCAAGGATTTATATATATATATATATATATATATATATATGGATTAGTTCAAATAAAAACTAGTTCTGGTGTGAGAACCGTAAAAACTATATTTGATGCTACTATTTTTTATATCATATGCTGCTATCATTTTCACAAATGCTAATATAAATTGTGTTGCCATTTTTTAAATGTTAGAAGATAGCACTACGAACAACTAAAACTAGCAGTTCTCACATTAAGACTTGATTCTCATTTGAACCACATCATATATATATGTATATATTGCACGAAAAAATACTGAATATTTGCTTTAATTTCATTTCTATGCATGCATCCACATTATTATGATATTATTATCTACTTGAGAAATTAAAATATTTGGTGACATATCCGATAAAATGGTATTTGATTCTTCTTATTATATAGAATAATCGCTACATGTCAACTGTCAAGCATGTTGTGACAAATGTATCGTAAATATCCAGTCATGGCAATTTATAGTATTGTTATGGTATTAGCATAATTTCTTTTTTTGTGAAAATATCTATTTACACCGCGTTTTGAAGTCTTGTTAATTTTTTCACACCGTTTAATAAAAAACTAAGTTTTTCACCCCAGAAAGTGCGAAGGTTATGCGAAAATTGTCGCATATTCATCGCATAACTGTCCATATGCGAAGGTTATGCGAAAAACTGTCGTATAACTATCGCATATCAATTGCATAACTGTGCGAAGGCATTGTGCGATGAATATGCGACAGTTATACAATTGATATGCGACAGTTTTTCGCATAACCTTTGCATATGGACTGTTATGCGATGAATATGCGACAGTTTTTGCATAACTTTCGCACTTTCTGAGGTGAAAAACTTAACTTTTTATTGGGCGGGGTGAAAAACTTAATTTGTCTTTGCTATGGGGTGAAAAATATTTTTTTTTCCATTTTTTTTATCATTATTATTTGTAGAAGAGACTACAAAAATCTAATTTTGTTTTGACAAAAAAAAGTGCACTCGTAATATATCAGTTTTAATCTATGGAGCCATCGGATGACTCGGTTTATTGAGTCGTCCATAGTTATTCACAAATAGTGTATTGACACATGTCTTACAATAAATACACTTTGAACAAGTGCCAATACATTAACGGATCAATGGCTCCATGGCTCCATAAAATTTTTGCTATTTTAATAGCGTAAGAAATAGGGTTATTATTTGAGTCGAGTAGTTCATGCTCGTTTAATAAACAAGTTGACCCAGTCTAATATTTTGAATGAGGTATCAACTGAAAAAACAAAAAGAAAGCAAAAACAAGATATTTAGAAACAAACTAGGTTTGTTTAACAAAGAAGTTGATTAATTATTCAAATCTCGACTCATTTAATTAAATTTAGTAGGTAATCCATTATCCGGTATAAATTACAATTTCGATACAATATTGAATATTTATTTTTTTTGGTACAAAGATGGAGGCTTATCGCCTAAGGTCTAAGAGACTAACGTACGACGTGGAAGAGCCACGCCCTTAAGATCATGTTCAAGCCATGCTTCCAAACCATTAGGGGGTGAAGATAACCTTTGTAACTCTAGTGTGGAAGATGCCGCAAGTGCCGTCAAATGGTCAGCAGCAAAGTTGGCTTCCTGCATATATTACCTCTATATATATTCTTCCTGCATATCTCACGTGTCCGGCATATTCGCTGCCGAAAAGTGATTAGTTTTGGGGTCAATTAAGGAAGCAATTAGCTTCGATAATTGTGATTAGTTTGGAGTGTTAAAATTTAGTGTTATCTACATTGAAATTTTTATTAACACCTTTTCAGTGCTGCAGAGCCTTGAGCCCTGCCCATTTACAATTATAAAAACCTTAAGTAAAATTATTTATAAAGTTATACACAAAAGGCATGGATAAGAGAATAGTCATACATGAATTAATTTATTATTACGGCTGTGTAAATGGTATCGTTGGTGGATAAAAGTATAAAACAGAAAAGCTAGTTAATACTTTAGTTAATTTCGAGTTTATAACTAATAGCTTGTAGTAGATGACTAATAAAATGGCTAACATAACAAAAGTATTAATAGTTTTTTTGAAATGATAATTTGATAAATAAAATCGAGTTGTTTTTTTTTTTAATTTTTTTTAATGATAAAACTTTCATTATGAAATACACTGAATTTTTCCCTTTTGGTACTGGGTAGTGGCATGGAGGATCACTTAGATATTGGGCTCTCGTGGAATCAAATAAGGACTTGTTGGGCTACTGTACATTTTGGTTCCAGAATTAACTTAGCAGGCTTTATATTATCAGATGACTTAGACCCAACCGGCCCAAATTTTCGTTTTGTAAGCTAGAGCAAAACAGAGGAAAGACTTGAAAAGAGAGAAAATGTGCATAATAATAATACCATGATTATTTTTTAGTAAGGGCGCTGTTAGTGAAGTATAGCGATGAGTCGGTCTTAACATTTTACTTTATAGCAAACATGCATATTTTTAAAAAGAAATCATGCTCTAAAAAAAGAACAAATAAAAGTGATATTTCACATCATAAGTATGTATTTATGTTAGTCGACTCAACTCACGGTTAGACCGTCTCTGAAGATGAAGCAGTTTCATCATTTTCACCATTTTTTTCTCCTCAAATGCAAAGAAAATTTCACCCTTCAGTTGTGCTACAGAGGAAACAACTTCATCAGTGAGCCTTTTAACCTCTAAAACTTAGTATTAACATTTCATAGAAAGACAGTTTCAATTCAACTAAGTTCACCAGCCCACTAAGACATGCCATATTGCCATATTACACCAATCTTTTCGTGATTCTTAACGAAAACAAACAAACAAATAAGAAAGAAAAAAAAAAGATAGAAACTAGACGAACTGTTTCAGAACCTGGAATATAGTTATTCACAAGGCCACTATTGATGTAAACAGTAAACCGAGCAGCAATCGCAATTGAAAGAGTCTGCTGTCAGATGTTCCGGACCTCGGACCTGGCCCATTTGGAGGATCAACTGGATGACGTTTTTCACATGCTCCAAAGGTTGCATTTTCCTGCATTGTACGATAACAAACCTTTGGAGCAAAACGGTAACATGTAGTAAAGTAAAAGACTCTGTCACGACACCATTAATCGAACATTTATCTCTATCTTGCAATATTGTCAACTCGGATGAGGCCTAAGTTCTATTTTTTTTATGAAATATTTACCTCACAAATACTTGTTCTTGAGGGTACAGATAGTGAAAAGAACACAAATGTTGGTGGGGTAGGGTGATTTTGAAAGATAACTGCATAAAATGAACGAAAGAACGTTTATAAGAAATATGAAATGGGAAAAATTCCAAACCTGGCAAGAGGATATAGTTTTGCAGCCGCACACAAGTTGACCATTTGCCATATCTACTGCTTCGGGTGCTCCACCTCCATCACTTCTCTGCAAAAGCTTACATTGATTTAGTACCCAAAAAAAAAAGTGACCACCTATTTTAAATCGTTGGTATCATGTGAAATTTCCTGAACCAGACGAAGCAAGTACCTTGTAATAATCAACCGCGATAAAATTGGGCCACCTTTGCCCAGCTGCTTGGTAGCATGTGTTCATCATGCTAATCAGAGGGGCTGAATTGTGTTTGCAGGCTGTTGCCACATCTGGAGTATCTGGAAAATAGTTCATCAGAACAAGAGACCTTGATGTTTCGTTCATGGCAAGCGATTCTGCACGGTTTGGACAAGATCCAGCTACCATTCCACCATTTCCATCTGCAAAGATTGCCAACCAATCAATAAATTTGGTTTTGCTTTCTTACCAGAAACCCCAGTTATCATTTAAACTACAACTAGCCACTTTGATATTTAATATAAAAGGACTCATCTACTTTTGAACTTTTTGTGCAATTTTGCCACTCACACTGATTTTCTACTAAGTATTTCCATTCATAGGCAATGCCTTCTGAGGACTCCTTAGAAGCTTTTGAAGTGAAGACTACTAGACGTTGGTTCTGCCTGACCATATCATCGACTGTCGGCCATTCTCCACCATTTTTCGGCATTCGAGATACTGGGAACCAGAATTTCCTCAGCCCAGAAGCATTGAAAACCTTGGTAAGGCCGTTAGGAGAGGCAACATAGTCCTCGATGATTATGGTGACTATTTCAGAAGGATATGACTCAAGAAACTGCTGTACCTCCTTCAGAACATTTATGGCCGGTTGCTGGATAGAGGAATTTCGACAGGTTAGAAATCGAATATTGCAAACGACAATGTAGCACGATAATCATAATTGAATTTGCAACCTGACAAACACAAAAAGGATCCTAACTTGTAAAATGGCAAGTTTGTAAAATATCATGTGTAACATTATTGACACACTTACAAAAGCTGTGTAGTTGTAGCAAACTCCCCCGAATGAGTGGCACAGCCAGATATCATTTTGGAAGTCATACATATCAAGCATCAACCCTCTGACTCCATTCTGAAATGTAAATGTCCAACAGAAACCATCAAAAGAATCGAATGATAAATGAAGTACATTTCCTACGACAGAGAATCACCTCGAACTCCCAGAATCCTGGATTGATTGACACTATCAGAAGCAAATGAATACAATTAAATTATGAGGATGAGTCTAATGCGAAAACCTTACACACTTGGTGGATAGTTTTACAGTTCACCTACTGCCATAAGTTGTGCTAAGTCAACATAATTACTAAGAAAACAAGATTAAGTAGTACATTCAATCAGAAAAATCTGTAACTTATAGAATATTTAAGCAAAGCTCTTTTGTTTCCTAATGTGATATCAAATAGAATTTCGGATATGAAATAATTAGAAACTAGATTGCTTGTTTCTCTATTTGGGCCATTCAAAATTTCCAGCATTTTCCAAGTATGCTCACTATGATTTAGGCAAAAGGCTCATTCTCAATAGTCAATAGCAGTAGTAGAACCAATGACATTGTTGCATTCTAGCCAACAAAAGTGGGTCCCATGCCTATTCTCTTATATATTGCTTCGACGTAACCAAGTCTTATATCATAAATCAAGCAAATTTACTTCTACAAGGCAAAAGCATAAGGTTTTTTTTTTTTTTTTTTTTTTGGAGAAGAAACCTTGGGCTTTACTTGAAAGCTCCAGCAACTTTACAACAAGCAATGACATGCGCCCAGCTCTAATTTTCAAGATGTATTTGAGATTTTGTTGGTGCCTTTATGAAATTTGGATAATGTGAAAGTGAAGTGAGTAAATTCTTGAACAGAAATGAACTGAATAATAATTTTCTTGTGCTAACCTCACCTTGCACTACAATATGAAGTATGGGGCATGAAGAGTTTTCAGACTTAATAAAGTAGAATCAAAGCTGCCATAGCAGTCACTTCGAGAAATACTATAATTTTAAACCATGCTAAAACTTCACATGATTGTTAATCATGATTCATGAACATATTTATGATATCCACATGAAGTTCATAATCCCGCCCCTGCTTTTCCCTTTCAAATATCAGAAAACAACAAATACTTTTTTAAAACAACTTGTAGCACAGTCACCCTGTGAAATAAGTCATTCTAAAACAAATTGCCTTTGAACTGGTCAGAAGCTCAATTCTTTATTATTATAGTCAAAAGAAGAAAAAACACTATTAATAGTGTGGAATGTTCACTCATCCAACAGACATTAATTCATTAAGCATTTCGGGCAGTAACTTAATAACAACAGATAGATGACCACTTTCATGTATCGTTCATGCACATTTGCCAACCACTCTCACAGAACTTTCTGCAGAACTGTGCATTTTCATGGCAGCATATTAACACACACTGATATATGTAAAATAATGCAGAGAGAACACATAAGAGAGTAAAATGCTGTACGTGGAGTTGATCAGTAATGGAGTCCTGCTGATTCTCTGGAGTTAAAACGATGCCTCCAGTTGCCGACTTAGCTCCCAATAGCGCAAATGCATTGTGTGTGGTTAACCATGAGTACCGATTGAAGGGCAGCCCGTTCACCTGAAATTCGTCGATATGAATAAAAGATATCAGAAATACCACAAAATACATTAGCCCTCTCTGCACCCATACAACTTGGTGTGGTTTAACCAACCAACCTAATCATTCGATTCAGTTGTCAATTGTGAACAATTTTATGTCGAACAAAATATAAGAATTTCATAACATCAATTGCAGTATAATAATGCTCGATTAATACAAAACAAACGCTAGATAATGTGGTACTGAAAAATTTTCCAAGAACATTCATCAAACCAAAAGCTACACCAAATTATTCACAACGGACAAACCTTGGAAAGAGGACTGATAGGCTGAATCAGAGTACACCGCGGCCTGACATTGCCGTTCGCGAGGCACGTCTCGCAATGCAGCCCAGAGTCACAGTTACTGTTCGCGATGCAAATTTGTCCTTGCTGTAACCGTACAAAAACAACCAGCAGCAAACAGAAAAAAAAAAAAAAATCAAACAAAAATCGACACACACACACACACAAACACGCATCCAGAGAGAGAGAGAGAGACGAACAGGAAAATGAAATTCGACGTATTTTTCGACTACCTTCAGAGCCGAGGAGCTGCCGAAGAGAAAAACGGCGAAGAACAGCGTCCAAACACAGAAATTCATCACAAATTCGTGCCTGCGCGTAGGAAAACATCGAAGAATCACTAAAAAACATGCGCGAACCTTCATTTCAAACACAATCATACAGCAAATTTCTGCAAATACACACACATATACATACAGAAACATCTTCGCAAACTTGTACGCGTGCGTGCGACAGTGAGTTCTGCAAAAAAATTACGTTACTGGAACTGAATCGATTCAAATTTACCTCTCTGGCGACCACTTTCTCTCTCTAAAACAGATTGAAGAAAAAAAAACTGCCTTCGCCGTTTGTGCAGTTTCAGCTGAGCGATGACGAGACGTGACGAAACTGAATTGAGTGTGGGTTTATTTTATTTATTTATGGGATTTTTTTCTTTCAAAAAAAAAAATGTACGTCCCGCGCTTATTCTAATTTAGTACTCCCTCCTATTCATTATAAATGTCATTTTGACTTTTTTGATTCATCCATTTTATTATGTATCTAGACATATTAAGTCTAGATACATAATAAAATGGATGAATCACAAAAGTCAAAACGACATTTAAAAAGAATAGGAGGTAGTATCACTTATTCTAATTTACTAGGAGATGCTACGGTTCGTTATGGAATCATTCCGTCGGGATGATGTAACGATTACAAATTCCGATAAAATAATTATGTAACGAAATCGTAGCATGTCCCCTAAATTACCTTTAATTTGGGATTAACGGGTGTATTCTAAATTGATCGTTAGCTATAATACTGCTATTAAAGTTAATACGATTTTAAATAGTGAGATAATAACTTAATAAGTAGTGTTTGTAAATACGTGAGCAAATAACAATAAATATACATTAATGAATAATCTATATCTATATCTATATCTATATCTATATAAATATAAAAATGTTTGGCATTTACTTAAAATAGCAACTGGATTCCCGTCTAAATAATTCGTGTTTACTTTTATTAGTAAATAATTTGAAGTTTGGCGGTAATTGTTTGAAAATTTGAATCCAAAAGTGAATAAAATCTGTGTAAAATATGGGAGAATCTATTTAAGTTTGTAATGTTATTGTGCCCATAATTACCTAACCCATATTCAAACAAAAATTATGGAATAATTATAGCCTATTAATGTAACAAATTAGTATAGAGCCCGTGCGATGCACGGGGTGCACAATTTTAAGGTCATTTATCCAGTCCTATAATTATATAAATAAATACAAAAATATACGGGATATATATAGTACGTGAACTGTAATAGACCAAAATGTGAACAGGGGTGATGCACGGGTTGCACAAATTTAAGGTCATTTATTAGTACAGAGCCCGTGCGATGCATATGGTGCACAATTTTCTAGTATGTGTAATACAAATACATACCTTATGCACATGACATAAGCACTAAATGAGTCATTTCCACAAAGCTTGCCCATTAAGTAGCTCCTGAACACGGCTGCACAATTTGTAGTACGTACCATAAAATCAGAACAGATTTCCATACAATTAGATAATAAATTAGATAATAAATAAAACCTTTTTTATATTAGTAAAGATTTTACGTTCATTTTTTTTTACTTATCGGATGTTATGAGATTTTTTTGTTAAACCGATTTTATGGGATATAATCAAATACAATTAGAGAATTGAACATCAGAACAGGTTTCCATACAATTAGATAATAAGAAGGAATTAGATATGGGATATAATACAAATACAATTAGAGAATTGAACATCATAACAGATTTCCATACAATTAGATAATAAGAAGGAATTAGATAAGGAAAAGAATCAATTAGATAAGAAAAAAAAGGAATTATATAAAGAATTTTGAATTTGCCTTTTTTTAGTATAGATAGACTTTAGGTACTAATTTTGACTTCACTGATTTTATGAGATTTTTTTTGACAAAACGATGTTAATATAGAATAAGACAAATAAATAAAGTCTTTTTTATTTTAGTAAAGATTTTACGTCATTTTTTTTACTTGTCAGATGTTATGGATTTTTTTTTTCTTAAACTGATATTATGAGATATAAGATAAATAAATAAATTCTGGATAGAAATAGCAATGCATTAATTACGTCGACTTTTCAACCTACTAAATTTGGTAAATAGGAATATAGGATACCTTATTATATAAGTATAGATGATAGGCGTGTAGGACTGTGCGATATAAGACAAATAAAGATGGTTAATTTCTTTCGATCTTTGTTTTATAATATGTCTTTGTTTTATTTTTATTTATATTGTTTTTAAAGTATTTAATTTTTACATGAAAGTATGTATATTTATTGAAGAAGTATAAGGGTTGTTGATTTTAAAATTATGTAGGTGAAAATTAAGATATCATTAAATTTTATGTGAGTTTAATATAATATTACATTATGGTTGTCACTTCTCGATTTTAATTTTTTATTTTAACCCAATGCATATTAAAAATTGCTTAGGCCGCCGGAATTGTTCAACTCTTGGGAGTCTCAAGTACAATACAAAAGTTTATTATTATTATTATTACTTTCTGAATATTTATTGCTTGTTCTTCAATAATTCATATCTATGATCGATATGAGTTTCATAGGTAGATCACTAATTCATAGTTCTATTATGAGCTAGCCGTTTGAAAAAATAAAAATTAAAATGTTATGGCCTAATAATTTTAGTTTGTTTAAATTCGATATTTTAGTAGCCCGAGGTCCGATACTCTGATTTTACTCATTATGAAAGAGATTAATATTACTCATTTTTTTGTGTATACAATAGTGTAAATGATAGACACATAGGCATGTGCGATATAAAATAAAGATTAAAAGAAATTAACCATTTTATTTAAAAACAATACAAGACAAATATATTACATTTTCAATATACATGCATTAATTACGTTGATTTTTCAACCTACTAAATTATAAAGCATTAATTACTAATTGATAAAATTAGAAGTTCATTAATTAAGTTTGACTTTTCTACCTACTATATTTAGTAAATATGTTCCCCTTTAATATAAGTATAGATGCATTCATATATCTGCTAAATCTGTTAAACACATACAATATACATAATATTTATACTCATGTGATATAAACTAAGTTTATCTATGATGCATTATATAATAATTACTTTTTCATAAAAAAAAATAATATATTAGGTAAAAATTCGAAATAATTTTGAGATAAGATTGTTTGAAAAATTCCATTATGTCTTATTTTATAACATAATAATTTTAGGATAAGATTGTTAAGGTAATTCCATTAAGTGTTATTTTATATCCTTAATTTTGCATAAAATTATTAATTAAGGAATAAAAAATCGGATAAGAATGTTAAGAATCCACATTAAGTGAATTTGTGTAACATAATTTTGGTAAAAAACTAAATCGGAATTTTAAAGAATCTCGAAATTAGGTGGAATTGTTAAAATAAAATTAAATAAGGTTTTTTTTAAATAAGGAGAAAAAATAATATATTAGGAAAAAAATCGAAATAATTTTGGGATAAGATTGTTAAAAAAAATTCCACAATGTCTTATCTTATAACAGAATTTTGTATCGAATTTTTTAATTAAGGAATAAAAAATCGGATAAGATTGTTAAGAACAACGGCAAAAATCTACCTTGAATTAAGGAATGATTTACGGGTTTAATATTGAGATAAATAAATCCCAAACAAACCCCATCCAATAATTAAGGAAATGATATCTATCTATAATCTATCTATAAAGAAAAACTGCACTGATGGTCCAATAAATCAGCTATTTTAAAAATGCCGTTCATTCTTATAATAAATCAGCTATTTTGGCGGTAGTTTTGATTAGCAAAAAATAAGGAAATAAAAAATAGATATGGAGCGAAAATCATAAAACAAGACACGCATTTATTGTTTTGGCGGCAACTTAAAAAAGTTATTCTTTAATATAATTATAGATAAGTATATGATATCATACGATTTATATATATGCTATTATGTTGCATTGTTTGGAAACCAAATATTTTCATAGGTATTAATTAAGTTTCCAAATATTCTTAAATTATCTTTAATCTATTAATAAATCCACTGATCAAAATCATTTGTGATAAATCCAAATCAATTCTCGTCGAACAGTTAGGGCTCCACCCTCTACATGAGGAGATGGGCACGTCGGATGTTTTCTCCGTGCTCGATCGAAATGGTGACGACAAGATCAGACGGGAGGAGCTCCACAAGTCGCTGGAGAATCTCGGGAGCTCGACAAGTTAGAGGAGGAGCTACGGGCGATGATCGGGAAGATCGACGCCGAGGAGTTCGGTGCGCTGTACACGGCAGTGATAGCTGACGGCGGCGGCGATGAGGAAATGCGGGATGAGATTTTTTTTGTGAAAGTCGCACAAGATGAAAATCGACACTTTACCCTGCTTGCAGCACGACCTAAGGTTTTTTCAACTTTTTTAGTTGTGATTTTTTTATTAAAGTTTTAGTTTTTTGTTTTTTTTTTTTTTT